TTTCATGTATGATATGGTTAAAGCTCTGCTGTTTTCTTGTTTGTTTTCCTAATGAAATTTTTTTATCCATTGTCATTGATGTGTTTTATCGTGAGCTGGATCTTATCTGCCCTGAACTTTCTGCATGAGCCCTCGTCTTCACTTTCTTCAGCACTGATAGACAAGTGTTTCACCGGAACTGATGACATTATTACTATGTCATCACTGATTTCCTGGATGCCTGTAAGGTTTTCAAGTAGTCTTTGTCCTTTTGTTGCAACACTTCACCAGCTGACCTTATTCCCAAAGGTAGGCAATGACACTTGTTCCTGCCCCAGGGTGAACCCAAAGTGCACAGTTACTATCATTCTTCATCTAATCTGACTTGTCAGGATCCATCCTTCCTTTTAGCAGATCACTTGGCTTTTACTGTTTGCTATCACAGCTTGGCCTTTCTGAGGTTGCTGGAATTTGGATATATCCAAATCCCACCATTTCTCTTTCTGGCTGATGTCATGCTCTTAGCCCACGGACTGAATATATTTGTTTTGCCTATATTCCCTTGTTTCCTTAGCTGCTGCTTGTTTCCTTTCCTGCTTTCTGTCACTGCAACCATAAATTTTACAGCTGTGCATGACAGGGATGATCGATGAATACAGATATATGTGTGTACTTCTTACGGGGTTCTGCTAACTCCTTGAAGACTTCTGGGTGTTTGTGATCAGTATTCAGCGATGCTTTGGGATGTCTGCTTGGCATTAAATCTTTAATTGTGTTTGAGCTACGCTGGCCTTTGTGGTACTTCCACGGCAAAAGGTTGAAGAGCAGCCTTTCTTCAGCCATTACGCTGTTAAGGTGACTGCAGAGTGCTTCCTGGGACCAGATTAAAGGTACTTAATTTCTTTATTTGGGCCGGGATATGGTCTGTTTTAGAAGGTGCACCTCAGCTCCTGTGCTTAACTTGAATCCCCTGAGTACATTTCTTGGAGTACATTCTGCATGTGCTGTAGGGGTTGTCCTATTTTCCAATCCCACACCCACAAGAAGAGATTAGTCACATTCGAATTCAGCCGGGGATTTGTGGTGGTGTTTGTTGGTTTGTTTGTTTGTTTTTTTCCCTGGGGTAAATTTGCTGTTTTGAAAAGCAAGAATAGTGGTTACACACGCTGCATTTGCGACAGAAAATGTGCACAGGCTGATGGTAGTGTCGCTACCCAGGTGTGAGGTGTGGAGGGTCTTCTGCTCTGGCTCAAAGGCGGCAGGTCCTCCCGCGTGGGTTTGCAGGATGGCTGGCAGCTGGCACGGGAGCTGGTACTGGGTTCAAAAGGCAGGGCGGTCCTGATCTTTGCCTGGGTGGCACTGCAGCTCCCCAGATTATCTCTGTGCGCTCCCAAAACAGCCTTCCTCAGACACCTTTACCTAAGTGATTATCAGTGACACCGAGCACAGTTTTATCTCTAAGCGTGTCATTCTCAGCATTGTCTGACTCCCAATTTCATGCCTTTTGCCTCAGCTCCGTGGCATGCTTTTCCGTCTGCTGTTTCTCTTGGAACTGGTGAGAACAGAATTGATATAATTCAGCATTTTGGGGTTTTTTTTGTTTGTTTGTCCGTGTTGTTCTTTTTCATGGATCACTGTATTTCTAAAGAATTGTTAAGGTCCCTCTGGAATGGTGAGTATTTTCGGTTTGTTGCTTTGATAATGTGATCTAAAATCCCAGAATCTCCTGACCCAATGAGCTCAGCAAAAAATGGCTATTTTCAAGTCCTATCCTGTTTATATGCTCCTTGGGATTTTGTGCTTCTCCTTGCCAACCCGTTGGGTGAGGGTGTGTGGAAGGGGAGGCGATTTACCGCTCCTGCCGCTTTCGGGTTATCTGCTGTGGGTTTTGCTTGCATTCCTGCATTTACTCCCCTAGAAAAAACAAAACAGAGCTGCTCTCTGACCTGCCCGTGGTCACTTTGTTATCTTTTGTTTCTCTGGAACATGGACGTCAGTATCATTAATATAGTGTCTTAATTAAAAGCGTATTTTACGGTAATAAGAACGGCTCCTACAGAGGCCCCAGCGAGGCAGCTGCTATCAGGCTCGGGAGACACACAGTATCCTCGCTGGGGATTATACCTAAGTACATCTAGAGAGACCATATCAGAGTAAAAAGCTAATCCTCCTTGACCTACAGGCTACACCTCAAAGGATAACCATGTCTCTAATGCTTAAAGCAGACATAAGCACCTCCTGGAAATTAACCTGCTTTAGATTAGGAATGATTTGGTAGAGCAAATCTACATCTAGTGATGTTACACAGTGCTGAAGTTTCCTTGGTCTGCTGTTAACAGGATTGTCATAAGCAGGAAAAAGCCATAAATAAATGTAAGCATGTTTGTGTGAAATAACCCCATAAAATTATGTTGGATTTCTTGCTGTTGGTTTTCTCCCAATATTCCAGTAGTGCAGCATGTCACCAAAGGAAAAAATGACATAGAATGGTCGAGGCTGGAAAGACAACACAGGTACACACAGAAACACACACTTGCCTTCTCTGATAGCATCACTTCAAAAGCATGAACTAAACAAAGTAAAGAAAAACACTCAGCAAATAATAAGGGGGAGGAGGGGGTGAGGGGGTGGTAGAAAGTACCAGAATTAGTACCTTACCAATGGATCCAGGTTTTTTCAGACGTGGATAAGGTGCTCACCACCACTAAAATGTCAGACTGGGTTTTGTATGACAGTGTGATTAATTAATTTCAAATCAATAGGGATTTGATTTTAAAGTATTTATGAGAGCATTTCCCAGAGTCCACTCTATGACACATCTGCTGGTGGTCCCAGGACTATTTACTCACTCTGCTCCTAAAAACTCATTTTTAGTTGTAAGTTTTTAGTCTAAGACATAACTAAGACCCATTATCTTCTTCCCCATATGTAATGGATGTAAATGCCACAGATGCAAAAGCTGTAAGATTGGTAAAGAAACAATCTTCACAGAGTAGTGTGAAGGTGGTTGTGGCCCATATTAAGCTGTGGGAAGATGTAGGAAGCCTAGTTCAAAGGACTGCCTCCGAGGTAAGATGTCGAATCCATAATTTCTTCCTATCAGTCCAAGATACAGCACCCTGGGGCTTGTTAATTGCTCCTGATCTCTGTAATTCATCCTGTGGGGAAGCCATTGCCATACTCCTATTGACATAATACTGCAATGATGATTTCTGCCAAAAACTGAGCTGTCCACAGAGGCAACAGCGTGCCATTCACAGTCAGTTTTATCCCCTCTAGCAGTACCATTAGACTATACATTTAAATTGCACATATGGATATTTGCATGTCTCGAGACACAGAATTGTCGCCGATTTCTGCTCGCCTGTCACCCTGACCCCAAACCCTCTGTGGCTGTGTTTGCTACCAGAACAGTAGGCCAGAAGCAGGGGTAAGGCTAATACGCACCTGTGTAAGTTTCTTCTGCACAACTCTTGACACCCAGCTGTTACCAACTGCTAAGATAAACCAGCTATTTGTAACAGTGCCACCCGGTGATACCTACTGGAATGTATGTGGTTATGCCTGATACGCGTATGTGGTACACTTCTAAAATCAATGTTTTACTTTTCCTGCTTCTTACATATCAGTTTGTGTTCAGGAAACCCTTTAAAATGTTCAGTTTAAATTTGGTAACATTTTCCAGCTTTTGCAGTTAAATTTTGACTTCAGACTACTAATTTGGCTATATTTTATACAACAAATTAATTGAAGTGGTTCTTGCCATTTTTTCTAAGAGTGCCAGGTATTTATAATTAAGCATTAGGGACTGTACATACATTTTAAAAGTATGGAAAGAGTTTTTTTCCTACCCTGTGTCGCCCTAAATAAAAGCAAACACAGCTGAAGCGTCTGAGTTTATCCCAGCAGCATGGATCCCAGCTGTGTGAATGGGTCCCACAAATGATCCAGTTTCTTCAAGTCCCCAAAGCAGGGCTAAGTCTCACACTCAAAGCCAGGTCCGAGGCAGTGATGTCTTTCCAGGAAAATAGCGCAATTTTCCTTAGTTGAAGTAATAATAGTTTGAGACATAATGTGGAATTGTATGGTTCTGAAAACCATGACTGTAATCTCAAGACAAATTAAAGGATAAGATTTCTGTGAGTAATTCAGCAGCCAATATTTGACCTTTTATTCAAAACAAATATAAAAGGAACCTGCCAAAATTGTTTTGTTCCTTTTTTTTTTTTTTTTTAAAGAGTTTTGATATATTTTTTCTCATTTCTATTTCAATGTTATATGGCAATCTGGAAGAAGATTTCTCTACAGATCTATTGTAAGGCAGGTATACTTAGAAAAGATTTATCTCACTTTTGGTTACTACTGGGCAGTAAGTGGAATAATGTATTCACAAACATGATTGCTAAATCCAGCAAATTGATTCAGCTATGTTTCTACCAGACTTCCTTTGCTTTTCCATGTACTTTGGAGAAGCTGCCTTTTGTTACAATAAACGTTTAGGTAAGAACTATTTCTGTAAGTATGAATGTATTAGCATGGCAACAGAAGTGTTTATATGCAAACAAGTATATACAAACAAGTATGTACATAAGAAGCGTTTTTCTTCTCTTTTTACCCTTTTCCTGCTCTTTTTTTCATTTACAAGAATGAAATGAGAGTTAAATCTGTGAGGCAGCATTAAATCTCATTGTTCTTTTCATATTAGCTAGTCTAAAATCTAGAGCTGATATACATATTTAAATGTGATTCAAAGTCCGGAATGTGAAAGACTCATTACTTTCCATGGGATTTGAATCATTTACTGGCTGAAATACATTTTATATCGCAATGTGACAAAAAATGCAAACTGCAGAACAGTTCTCAAATAATAGAGGTGCCTTTCTGAATGGTAGAGTCATGAGTCCAGGTGCTACTTGAATAATTAGGAAAGCTAAAACATTTCTAGAGAATGTACGAGCAATTCACAAACAGGCTGCTACCTCAAAAAGACAGACAAATGTAACCAAAATTAATAAAGTTACCGTGTTGAATGCTGACATCCAGTAGCAGTTCCTTAAGACTTCTAATGTCACATTTGGATAGAGTTGTCTCAGTTTTATTCCTGGCGTTCCTAAGTGCCAATTTGGAGAAAAAAAAAAAAAAATAGAATTTTTGTAGTGATGGGACATGAAACAAGTGAGCAAGAGCAGCAGGTTATTACAAATAGCTATGTAAAAATGTGAATCGGTGGTAAAAGAGCCTCATGATGATTATCAGGACAGATTTTCAGCTCCCCTTTTGGACTGAATTTTCCTGTCTTCAGATATTAGCTCACGGTAGGTTTTGGCGAGTTGGAAATCTATGGATTAAGAAAGTAACCACTTAATTAATGCAGGGATTTATTCAGGTACTTTTTATGTAGGTAAAAGGTGGGGTACACAGTGCAAGGTCACGGTATATGAGCCAAGCTCTGGAAGAGTTACTTAAACTAAACAATAGTTTCTGAATCCAAAAATAAAAGCATTTTTCCAGCATTAAGGAACTGAAACTTCCAGCAAAGTAACTGAACTGTGGGGACAAACTGAACCATCATGTCAATAGGAATGGCTCCTTCATATATCAAAGATAAAGTGTTTATTATTAAATCATTGTAAAAGCTGGCATTGTACTGACATCATCACTAGGAAACCTGGCACTGTAATGGAAATATTGATGAAAAAAGGCCCGTTTTAACATGGGATGTTTTACATGAGCATGCAATCTAATTAGATTCACATGTGATAGATGCTTTCTAAATTGAGGCAGTTCCCCACCCACAGAATTAACATAAATTTTTACCTCAGAGGTGAACTGAAATGAGAAGGAACATTAAAGCTGCTAATGTGCTCAGCTATTTCCTTGCTGAACACCATCAGGAAGCCAATAATAATAAAATAAACCTGAAAAGCCATTCATGCATCCGGAAGTCCCTCACTTATTTTGTTCCGGAAAATGCAAAATGCTACTGTGCAGTGCTTTCCATCCTGCTTTATGTCTGTCTTGACAAGGTAAGACTCTGGGGTTTGGGGCTTTTTTGGTTGTTGGTTTTTTTTTTTACTTCAGTTGTGTTACTTGCTCTCAGATATTTCACTCTGGTGATTTGAAATGCATTTGGAGAAACTATTTTGTGTAGATCTGTATGCATATGCATACACAGAGGGAAATGTATGTAAATGAGGAAGTATTTGCACTGATTATAGCAATTAAATCAAAAATACAGAGGAGAAGAAGAATTAAACTGCATGTGACATTCCTATGAAAGGATTACAGTGTCAAAAGGGAAGGACATAAATTACAGTATGCCCACATAACTTAAGAAGCAGCAAGCACATTATTATTGGTAGTTTCTGGTTTACACACAGATGCACAGACAAATGCACATGCACACACATATTGTAACTTATTTTACAGCTTGAAACCAGCAAATAAAATCCAAAAATACACTGCGTAAATCTGACTGCGAAAATGAGTCCAAAAAGTAAATGGGCTACTTGTGAGATTGTACTGTTAGCATTTTATACACAGTTATTTTTTTCCTCCACAAATACCAAGTTATTTTACTTTAAGGACCTCTTACTTGTATCAAAGTCATTACCAGGCGGTTAAACAATAAATATTCATAATCTGGAAATTATGAATATCTCAGTGTTTGACAGAAAGAGGCATCCAGTTCAAATTACTTAATTCCTGCTCCTCCTGTAACTATCCACTGCAAACATCCTCAGTCTATCTGACACTAATCTGGAAGAGATTCTTGGTTCACCTTTTTAACCTTGACGTTAAAAGCTAAATCTCTGAAACAACATATGTGTCCAGGTTGGGGTCTATTGCTGTTAAACTCATGGTACCTATCTGAGTTTTACTTTTTGCCGTGATGAATTACAATTATCTGAGAAGTAAGAATATATTGTCTGAAAATACAGGGGCCTATTTGGAGTGTAAGAGAATTTGTCTTGTATTTTCTGTTGAAGATCTTCCTCAAATTTTCTAAATGAATCTCAGCAAGACAAATATTTTTGGAAGAAAACCATTTATCAAAAGTTAAAGTCCATTGTGATTAACACCCACTATTTAACTTATTTACTTTGTTAAAGAATCTATATCTCATGCCTAGTATTGTGTCAGAAACCTGTACACCCATAGAGACTGATAAAATGGAATGTCAAATAATTGTAAGAGCAAAGTGTATGGGTCATTTCCCCATAATTCTGAAAAGAATGGAATTCACATCGGTTCTAGGTTTGGTGAATGTATAATAAGAAAGTCTATTTTTAAAAATCATCACATTTGTTTTGCAAGGGAATCAGCAAAACACATCAGCAGTGACTGCCTCAGAAAAGGCACTTACCTCAGGAATGGGAGAGATGAAACAGGACAGGAAGAAGTCTCTCTGGCCAAGAGCCCGCCTTCCCCAGCATGTAACCGAGAAAAATCTAAGCAGCAAAATCCTGCACAAAATTATTGAGAACACTGTTTGGTTTTTAGTAAGTCAGAGAATAAACTTCAAAAGAGAAAATAAATCAGGGTGGCCGCTGTTTGCCTTAGTGAGTAGAGGGAATAACCATTGACAATTAAAGAACTAGGAAACAGCAATTATTTTCAACAGTCAATCCATTTTCAACACTCGTAACACTGAGCTCACTTACAATTTTAACATGCAAGGGGAAAGAAATGAGGAAGGGAAGGGGAAGGGGAAGGAAAGGGAAAGGGAAAGGGAGAGGGAGAGGAGGAAAGGGGAAGGGGGGGAAGGGAAGGGGAAGGGGAGAGGGAGAGGGAGGGAAAGGGAGAGGGAAAGGGAGAGGGAAAGGGAAGAGGCAGACGAGGGTGGGAGTTCTCCACCGCCTTTCCCGCCCAGCGCCACGCCTCACCCACGAGCGCCGCCGCGCGGCTGCGCTGAGGTGAAGACAAGATGGCGGAGGGCGCCCCCACCCGCCTCCAGAACCCTCCAGGGCCCTCATCGACCTTGGAGAGTCCCGCAGCAAAAAACAGCTAGTCTTCCTCAGAGCAGGTGTCTATCCCTTCGCTTCCCAAATAAACTATGTTCTTACTGAGACGTCCTGAGACGTCTTATGTGTTAAAGACAAAGGTTTTCCAGGTTTTTTTTTTCTCCAATTTCCCGCCTCCCATTTCCTGAGGCGATGGGGGATTGGTCCCACTGCAGGGCAGGGGAAGCATCCCAAGGGTGAAAGAAGCTCCCACATGGCCTTTGCTCAGCTAAGTACCAGGTATCTTCTCAGAGAACCAGATATTAATTTGGAGATTAATTAGAACTATCTTATACATTAAGCATTTCACTGTCTTCTGCCAAAAGACCAGGTTAATTCACCAAAACGGC